TCATCTTTATATAAAAAGGGCACCATCACTTCTGTGAGCGTGTCGAGGTAAGAAATGTGTATAACCAGATGAAGTCTACCAAGAGCTGTTTGTGTCCAAAACAGTGGAGCATTAATGTAGCCTATACCTTACCAGTCACTACTGGCCTGATGAAAGAACGTGTACTTAAAAGATAACACCTAAAGCTTAAAACACTAACTTTGGGATTTAGGATCCAATTTAGACGAACTTGCATCGAACAATGTGTGATGGTAAATGATTTTGGAGCACTGTGATATGATGGGTCACTCACTGTATGACAGTGGCATTCCTTGGGACCTTGGCCTCAATTGAAATCTATTCATGGAATTCATCTTCAGATATTTCTCTAGGCACAGATTAATCAGGAAAAGCCCTATGGAAATAATACTAAAATTGTATTACACCCTTGATGTTCTGTAGCTCACTTATCCAAGAGTTTTATTTATTGATTTATTTTTTACGTAAGATCGTGCGCGGCCATTTGTACCTTGAATATACGAGGCTTCCGGTGTCATTCACTAGTTATTTTACCTGCAGGCTACAAAAACAGACAGTTGTTGTACCATGTTATTTTAACTCATTATCATAATCATAAACACACTGGTTTGTAGCGCAAACAGTTTTAGCGTTCACTGCACTTCGTTATTCTTGTAGTTATTTACATAATGGCTAATTAAGTTTTGCAGGAAATAGCTAACTTCTTGTGAAATAAAGTAGACTAGTTCTAAAAACTAGATAATATGACAAAACCAACTGATTTAAGGGAAATCCAAGACCATATTGTGCAATCTAATCATCTAATTGATGATGAATCTCACGTAGGCTAATCAAACATGCTTTTGGATACAAAAATAATGTATTAAAATTAATGCTGTCAAACGATTAATCGCGATTAATTGCATCCAAAATAAAAGTTTTTGTTTACATATGTACATGTACTGTGTATATTTATTATGTATATATAAATACACACACATGCATGTATATATTTCAGAGAAATATGTTATTTTTAGATATTAAATGTATTTATTTATAATATAAATTATATGAATAGAAATATAGACATGTAAATATTTTCAAAATATATACTGTATGTGTATTTATATATACATAATAAATATACACAGAACACACACATATATTATGCAAACAAAAACTTTTATTTTGGATGCGATTAATCGT